GAACTAACGTTCTCTGAGATAAAAAGAAAATAACCTAGACTACAAAAATAATCAGAAATAAAAATTAAACCGTTTCCCCGGCAACGACGCCAAATTTTGACAGGGTAAAGTCGTATCCCCAAATCAAAAGTAATACCTAAATCTCTAACTAACGTAGATAAGGAAGTAGGGTCGAATCCACAGAGAAACGGATCTTTCTATTCCTAATTAACTAGTATGATCTAGATTATTAGGTAACCAATTATGTGAATTTGAATAATAAACTAAACTATGGAGATCAAGAATAGGGAAAAAATAATATATAAAAGGATCTAGGGCATAGGTTTACCAATAAATAATATTCCAGGGTAAAATATAATAATCATTCATCAATGCATATATAAATCAGATTATAAAGGGCTTTCGCTACGTATTATAATCACACAATTAATTTATCGGTATTAAATCTCATCTTTTGAATCTCGACCTAACCATTTATAAGTTAACCTGCCTATTGAAACTAGACCTAAACATCAATTCTCATCTGTCGAATCTCGAATCAATATTGTCAAACTCATGCATAAAAGATCGGGCCTAATCTAGTCACAGAGCATTAAATCAATCAATAGGAAATTAATCTAGCATTGACAATCAACAACAATAAATTACCCCTTCATATTATTTATGGATCCCCATAAACCCTAGAAATAGAACTACTCACACATAGTAAAAACTAAACTAATCAAAGCAATAAAACAAGTCATGATGAAAGGAATAAAATAAACAACTAAGATTAAGAGAAGAGAAATCGTTACCAAACAAATCTGGAATTAAGAGTAGATTAAGAACAAAGGTTTAAGAGAGAGAAAATCTAAGAAAACAATTAAGAGAGTAAAGAAAAAGTAAAAAGAGAGAGAGAGCTAAAATCGTATTACGGAGGAGTATTTATACTCCGTACAAATCCTAAACTAAAACAAACTAAAACGACGCTAATCGTCTCCCAATAAATACACGCGCCCGATCGGGCGCGCCTTTTTACACTCTAGTACCAATCTCGCGCCCGGCCGGGCGCGTCACCGGGCGCCAGCCTTAACTTCTCCCGCCCGGCCAGGCGCGCCTCCGGGCGCCAACCTCTTTGGCCGGGCGACTCACTTGGGCCACTATTTGGACTACGATTGGGCTCCAATTCTTCGGGCCAATCTGGGTTTCCTCTTCTGGTCTTGAATACTCGGTCCAAATGCCCCGGTATCACCTATACCGAGCCCTTAATCACCGGTTCGATGGCTCTAACCGGCACTGGGCTATAAAATCTAGTCGTGCTTCTCCAATGCTCGTGATTGCTCCAAAATATCTCGGGAAAATACTTCAAAAGTGTAATTCCCTGCAAAAGTCAACCAAATCTACGAAAACACTAGAAAACACCAATTAGTAATAAAAGTGGCTCTAAAGAGCCAAAAACACTACTAATACGACCAAGGGACGGAGGTAAAATACTATATAAAATAGACGCATCATTAATCTCTAATTTCCTCCTATTTCTTCTAATCTATTAACTATTACTAAAACAAAACATGCTGACATCATTAAAGAACACTTGTCAATTTCTTATGAAATTTTTTTCCGCCAAAAGTATTTTTGACATCATCATTTTTTTTCTCTATTTTTTTTTCTCTTAAGTTCTAAAACTAAACAATTACAATATTTCTTTCAAAATTAATAAATAGGATTATGATTACACTTTTTTGAATCCTTCACCAAAAAAAATGACACTTTTTGAATGAAGAATATTGACAACTATTTTAAACAAATAAAATCTATTTAAATCATGCAACGTATGGGATTAATCTAGTTAAGCTCTAATCCACTAACTTACTAAATAATAATATTTAATTAATCAGCTTGTCTTGTGTGCGACCGGCCACACCGTGTGACCACTTAAAGTAACCCCTATAACATTGATTAAGTAACCCCTGTAATACCAATCAAGTAACCCCTATAACACTGATCGAGTAACTCTATAATAGTGATGAAGAAACCCCTTTAACACTGATCAAGTAACCCTTATTACACTAGCAAAGTAACCCCTATAATGTCTGGCCACACGGTATGGCCAGCCACATATAAGACTTTGTGTTAATTTATATATAAAACAAACCACCATTCCCGACCACCGCCACCCCTTCCTCCTCTCCTGGTAGCAACCCCCTCCCCCCCACCTGACCCGCCACTCAAATCCCCAACCTTCGGCGACCTACATCCACTACCGTCCAACCCTGTTTTTCCCCTTTATCCCCTCCGGCGACCACCACCTTTTCATTTTGAAAAATAAGCCTTAGAAAATCAATTTGGGGGGTTTTTAATTTTATGCTTCTTGCTTGCAATTGATACTTGTTTTTGCTTTGATTATGTCTATATGTGATGCTAAAGTGATTTAAAAGCAAATTGCATTTGATTTGGACTTAATTTGAGCATGTTTAATTTGAGTAAACTAGAGCCAAAAGTTTGAAAGGAGGTGGTGGTCGCCGACGGGGATAAGGGAGGGAGGGTCGGCCGGCGGTGGAGGTAGGTCGCCGGAGATGGGTTGATCCGGGTAGAGGTGGGGGTTGCTGCCAAGGGAGGGGGAAAGGGAAGGGTGATTGGTTGGTGGTTGGGTGGTGGTTTATTTATATATATAAATTAAATATAATTATTAAAGTAATTTGATGGATTAGAGGTTAGTTAGAAGAAATGGGAGAAAATTAGAGATTAATTAAGTTCATTAGAGGTTAATTAAGTTAATAGGTTTTCTCTCGCTAAAATAATGGACGTGGTGATTTTTTTAAACAAAAAAGCTTTTAAAAGGTTTTTTTTTCGCAAAATGGTGAATTTTAAAAGTTTTTTATTTATTTTCTTCTTCTTTTTTTTAACGAAAAATGAGTATATGTTAATTTGAAATAATGTTATAACGTATTTGAATTATTTTTTTTATTATTATTTTTTTTCTATATTGACATATATTTTTTCAAACAAAGTCTATTAATTCAACAAATAATAACGCAAATCAATAAAAATGTCTAACAACAAAAATATAATAATTTGAATATAGTAGGTTGTATTAACAATATTGAACATTTACATATACAAAATGAACGAACATTTACATATATACAAAAATGAACATTTTTATGTGATTTGAAACCGAAAAATATAAGAGGACATCATTATGAAGGAAAAGGGGGTGCAACCGTGCAGGTAGTGCTACCTATACAAGGGTGTAGGTAAAAACTAGTATGGGTTAGATCCTTCTAATAATAAATGGTGTGGGTCTTTTATACGATTGTGCAATCATGGGACAATGTGGGTCGTATCAAGGTTTAAAGTAAACCTACTTTACTAAGCACTGGTACTAGTTTTCCTTTATTTTTCTATTTTGCAAATGTTATTTTCACACACCAAAGCTTGTATAAATTGTTTGTAAGGATGTTTTTATTATTATTTTTTTAATTTTGAAAACGGCTAAAATTACATTAATTGATCGACTTTACAACAAATAGAAAAGTTAAGTAACATAAGTTACTATTATGCAACATCAACTAAGGCCATTAACGACATTTTTACCTAGAAGCTATTATACAACAAGTGAACACAAATAAGACTTACTAACTAACCAATTTACATTTAAACATGCGATGAGACTATTGATAGAATGGGGAAGTAAATGATGATGCTTCGTGGTGCAAAGTCTTTTCGAACATACAAATAAAAGTCGATGAATATTGCTGAAATGACGAAGTTAGCCAAAATCCATATGACTTATGCTAAGTGACGAAACCATTTTCCACGGATTAAAATATATAAAATCCTCTTGATATTTGTGTTGATATCAATCACATTTCCTTGTGATCAGACAAAGTTATTCCAAAAAAAAAAAAAAATCCTAGGTATTGTACATGTATAATTGTATATATATCCCCTACTCTATGGGATAATAAACACTTCTCTATTCTTTATTTTACAATCGTGATCAATTTTCATTATATATTTATTATTTTTATGTTAGGTTTAACTATACTAAAATCTACATACAAAAATACTAGTGTACTTTTTTTTCTTTTAATTTTTATCCTCTAATTAGTTATTACTTCGTCCGTAATTTTTTTTTTTTTTTTGCCAATTTGACGTCTTACGATCTCTAAGATGTGTATTAATTATACATATCTCCGGTTCTGTAATATACTAGTATGAAGTAGGGATATAAGCAGTAATACGACAGACAAATTCCATGTATTAATTTTAAATGGCGAGCATGATTTAAGAAGTGAATTGCTATATACCGCCAACGTTTTTTATCAAACCGCCGACAAAAGTAATGAAGGGACAAAATTACCCTTACTCATTTATAAGTCCATTAAGCTTCAAACTCAATCGTCAACCACCCCAAAAGCAATCACCAACGCCCAAGCCGCCACCAGCCATGCAATGATGCAATAACAAGTAATGGAGTAATTATAATAGAGAGTACTTTTTTTTACAAACAAATAATTTTAATGCTAATAAATAAAAAAATAAAAATCTAGCAGTGAAAACCAATGCCGATCGGCGCCCAAAATCGGTCGACCATGACCAACAATCGGAGCCCAAAACCGGTTGGCCAGGGTAACCAACGGTTTTGAGTGCCGGTTACCGGTGACGTCAACCGGCGTTGAGCGTCAATAGTGAAAGTCGGAGGTGGTAAAAAAAAGGGAAAACGAACTGGTTTTTCCGACCACCGCAATACCAGTCTGTCACCTTCGGGGTATAGTAAGGGCATTGGTGTTCAATCACCTTAAATGTTAACGTTGTTGATAAAAACTGTTGGCGGTATTTACACCCCCCTTTAAGAGCAAGTTTAGCCTCAAGTCTTAAGACTTAGACGTGACATCATTTTTGGTAGTCCCTATTGAAAATGATGTCATCAAATTCTTGTTAAAACTCGCCAAGACTTACACAAATTTATCATTTTAGCCCTAAGACTTAAATATTTGACATATTATGTAGAAAAGTTTAAAAAAAGAAAAAGGGATAATAAAATAAAATTTAAGTGGGTGAAGTGAGTCCCAATCTCAAGTCTTAAGTTGAGTATTGAAATTTTTGAAGAAAAATGGGAAAAGTGTTAAGTATAAATCTTAAGACTCAAAATGATGATGTCATCGCAGGGAAGACGACTTGGCTAATTACTCACTAACCCGAGTGCAATTTTCTAACACAAATTCTAACACCAAAACTACTGTACATTCCCGCCAACAACAGAGTTCATAGGCGCCTTTCTCATCTGAAACCTTTCTTCTTCTAAACCTAAAAACCCCTTCAATTTCTCTCTCCCAAATTTCTTTCAATTTCATCGAATTAGTTCAATTATATTTGTGCCCTTAAAAAATGGGGATACAAGGGCTATTGCCGCAACTAAAATCGATAATGTCGCCATTACACATTAAGGAATTACAGGGTTGTTGGGTTGCCATTGATACCTATTCTTGGCTACACAAAGGTGCCTTATCTTGTAGTACCCAGCTTTGCAAGGGTATTCCTACTTCTAGGTCAATTTCATCTCCCTTAAGTTTTGCTTATCATGTTTGATTTTGGGATTTTTTTTTTTAAATTTTTTATTTGTTTGATTGGAAATGAAATCTTTGATTTTTTTAGCAGTTTTGGAAATACCCAATTGGAGAATTTTGTTAAAAATGACTTTAATTTAAGATTTGTTTGGATGGTTTTCTGATTTATTTGAGTTGGGTATTTGGGCCTTTTGGGGTTAAGCTTTATTTTGTTGTTGTTGTTGTTGTTGTTGTTGTTGTTGTTTATATTAATTTCCTAGCTAATAATTAAGGTTGTGTTTGAGAAGAATAAATCCCAATTGAAGTGAATGAATTGGTATTAATTTTTGGGATTCTATTAGGTTGATTTTATTGTTTAAGTGGAGATATATCCTTGTATGATTTACCATTTTGGAAATACCCATTTGAAGAATCGTAGGAATAATGTTTTTATTTTTGATGAATTTTGACCTAGCATCTGACTATGGTGATAATATTTCAATTGGGTATATGGGGTTAAGCTTCTACTTTTAATGTTAATGGTATCAGTTCCCATTTCCCAGCTATTGAGGGAAACTAAAATCCTGATTACAGTGTTGTTTTTATTAGTTTTTTATTTTTTATTGACAGCAAAAGCACAATTAAATTAAAAAGTTAAAATTTTGCATTTTCAATTTGGCATGCATGTGTATGCCTGATTGAATTGCTGGCATAGGGGGTTTGATCTAGTGGCTTCCTCTCTATTCTAATGTCATATCTCCCAACCTCCACATAGTCCACATTAGAGGTGGAGTGGAATTACATTAGAGGTGAGAAAAGACAGTGGATCTCAGAATAAAGTTTACAGTTATTACAATGTCATCAATTTTGACATGAATGGAACACCTTCATCTTCGATCCATTGGTCTCCATCTCAATGTTCATAGCTGAGTAGATTTCTTTTAGCTGCAAAAAATGCTTGTGAAGTGGTAGTCATACACTTGTCCATATAGACTGGAATTGATATTCATATTTGTTAGGATTTCTTTTAAAACTGGAAAGACAAGTTGTCAAGCTGTATACACAATTAATGCAGTTAATATGTGATTGAGACAGGTCAAGGGAGGAGATGGCACTCATATGTCAATATAAGATCAGGAAATAAAGAGATTATCAAAAGATAAAGAAACTTTACTATATGAACTATGAAACATTTTTTAGTAGCTAGTCTAATTATTGATCCTCAGCTTTGATATCATATACATACTAACGGTTTTGCATTGTCAGGCACATTGATTATTGTATGCACCGAGTCAATTTGTTGCGTCATTATGGTGTCAAACCCATTCTTGTTTTTGATGGAGGTGATTTGCCTATGAAGGGTGAGCAGGAAAATAAACGTACACGGTATGCATCATTTCATTGCAAGGAATATGCTGTTTTCATCATCTCATACATATCATGCTATTAATCTTTAAGCTACACTTGAGCATGATGTTTGATGTAATTGTGCATGCCATACACCTAGGTTTCTAATTCTCAGCTGCTCCTTGGAAATAATATTCATTATTAAGGATTGCATGCCATTACTTTAGTGCCTCTAGCACGTTTTCCACTTATGGAAGACTAACAACAAGAAGAATTCCTTACCTATATACAGTTAGGGAGGTTTTGTTAGCCATATCCTCGCTGTTGTAAAGCACAGACCTTTGATTGGAAATACTATTGATTGACCTTACTGTTGTAAAGCTCAGTGATGGATCTAATCTACTGCATTGTAATCTGAAGCTGAAAGTTTCTCAATAATGACTCAATTAACTTTGTCTAAAATGGACAAAATCTTATGTGCTTCCGTTTCTTATCTGTTGTGAAATACTGAAGTGGGAGCATCTGATCACCAATGAATAATTTTTTGATTAAATTATTATAGTATTTTTGGTTTAGCTTAATTTGCATATTAAAACAGCTCATGGAAATTTGGGATGTGACATAGTATTCATTATTCTTGTGGGCACCTCTAAATACCCTTGCGGCTTTCTTGTATGAATAAGTGGCAGCTTTTTTTTGTTTTGTGTTTGATTATTATGTTGGTTGATCATAATCAATTTGGACTGGATGAAAAACTGTGGTACTTGATCATGGTAACATCAAATCACTTTGGCTACAGCTAAGAGTAAGGTGTATGACAGCCTTGACAGGTTGAGTTGTAGGCCCTTGAATCGCCGATACAAATGCTGTGACGATATAGTGCAATGCTTTGGTTAAATGCAGGGGACAATTTACAGTGAATATATGATTCACTCTAACCTCGCAAATTCCGTGTTGTCAGTAGCATGTTGATGTAGTGAAACAGATATGGGAGCTTGATTTGCTACACAATTTTGTTAAATACTTAAATCAGTCCAAAATTATACCACTGTTAGGTGTAACATGTACCAACGAATGTTCCGGATCATGGTAGGGGACTGGGTGGAATTCAAGCAACTATTTTTCTACCATGGACATAAATTACTTAACACTTTGCAAATAATTGGCTTTTTACATGGGTTTCTGTGGCAATAAGCACACATCTATTGCTTTGGAACTCAGTGATTAAAGCATCATAAAATGTGGGAGATGTAATTTGGATACTAGATGGGATTTTGCTGCTGCATCTAGGATTGGTGTTACATTAGTTGAAGTTGTAAAGTGCCAAATTTAACTAGGAAACAAGTTGTATCCATGGTGTAGAAAAAATCTGTATGCTTGTATCCATGTGCGTATTTCTTTTGAAAATAATCATGTGTATTCTGTTCTATCAACACTGGTTACGTGATTTTACCAAATCATTATGAGTTTGGGTTTATATCTGTAAGTTCTGTGATTTCTCTGCTTTACAGTATCAGGGGGATTAAGTGCTTATGAGTCTCTTACAATTTGTGTTAGGGTTGTTAAATCAGCTCGTAGTCGTGAAAATCAAAGGCTATAGGACCCTATACTATGAATGATTTTCTTTGAAAGAGAGTTTGTTATATGAAGTTTGCGTCTTTTTCCTGGCAAGATTGCTTCGAATTTATCTCTCTTGATCTGCATGACTGAAATACATATTTAAACCCTTAGTTTTGGCGAGTGGAACCTAACATGAGTTCCTTTATATTGAAAATTACTCTAGTTGAGTGAAACCAACGAATTAATTTAAGATCTCTGTTAAATTGAATGTTAAGTATGTGAAGCCTAAGCCAAAAAAATTAACTGGATGCTGTAAACTGAGTGAAGGCGTTATCTTTTAACATCTATCATTTGAATTCATTTCTTTCTAAGCGATTGGCCTGCTTGGCCATCCAAAGACTACTGTATCAAGGCTGTAATACAATTATACAAGTAATCTCCTTAGGCTGCCTCAGTGCCTTTTAACTTATTACCATTTGCCACATATAGGAGGAATCCCTTTGAAAGGCACTTATGGTCTTGTACTATTGCAGAAAGCTTTTGACAGGGTTAAGAGAACAGAGGATTTGTCTAATGACCTTGATGAAATGACAAAATCATTTTTTTCATGGAGAAAGTAACACATGCGACAGTTCACTTTGAATAACTAATAGTCTAATACACAGTCTGTCCATCGATTGAGCATGAACTTTCTTGCTGTGAATCCCTTACCCCTAGAATAATGATAAATTCTTAACTTAATTTTTGCTAAAATGCAGCTCTAGGAAAGAAAATCTAGAGCGCGCTATTGAACACGAGTCAAGTGGAAATTCAGCTGCTGCCTATGAATGTTACCAAAAGGCTGTTGATATATCCCCAGCAATTGCTCATGAATTAATTCAGGTACTGCCCTGTCTTCAACTCTGATGGCTCTGGTTGCAGTTACTTTTAGTAAACTGTTAAATATTTGAGTTGTGTATCTCTACAAACGAGATGAAAGTTCACAGGATTTTTTGCTTGCAAGGTTTTGAAGCGGGAAAGTGTTTGCTATATAGTGGCCCCTTATGAAGCAGATGCGCAAATGACATTCTTGGCAATTACTAAGCAGGTTGATGCTGTGATAACAGAGGACTCAGACCTCATTGCATTTGGTTGCCCAAGAGTAAGTAGCAATATGAGCTTCTTAGGTGTAATTTATTGCACCTTCATCTAGACTGGAACTTTGTCATAAAAGTGTTTTTAAGATAGTGTGAAGGATTATGTAAAGCAAATATTGTACTCCGTAATAGGCAATGTATTACTAAGGCCTCTGTTATCTTCTACTCAGCATTTTCCATGCCTAATTAAACAGTTTTCATTTCCTGATGGGACAATCTTTTTATATTTAGCACTATTGTATCCTTCAAGTTTAGGTATTATGTGGAGGGACAATTGTCTATTTGTCTTACATAAATCCTTGTTTAACTAAACTTGTGAGTTTGTCACATATGCACAATTACAAGACTGATTTCTATAAACTTATAATGTTCACACAAATGGACACATCCTTTATAACTATGCTAAGAAACAAAAATGTTGTAGTTTTCCCTGTACTTTGTACACCCACAAGGCTACAAGGTTAGGTTACTTGAAAGTTCTCTTTTTTATTTGAAGAAGAAGCAACTTTAAGGATCCTAATTATTTTTAATTTTTCGCCGATGCACTTATCTTATTTTGTTCAACTGCAGATCATTTACAAGATGGACAAATATGGACAAGGTGTTGAATTTCTGTATCAAAAGCTACAATACAACAAGGATCTAAATTTTGCGGGATTTACTAATGACATGATACAAGAGATGTGTATTCTTAGTGGCTGTGACTATTTGCCATCACTTCCTGGCATGGGTCTGAAAAAAGCCTATTCCCTAATTAGCAAATTCAAAACGTATGAAAAGGTGAAATTTCAGTTAGCAGTTGTACACACGTTTACTTGGTATATAATACTCTGTTGAATATCAAAACTGACATGTTTTGCATGATAGTATTATTTATTATTTTACCATCCACAAAGCTAAAGCAAAGACCCTGAAAGTTTATCTAATGGGATTTTGAGTTATAATTTAAGCTATTACGTTTTCTTAAAATTCTAGGTAATTAAACACTTGAGGTATAGCTCGGTTGCTGTTCCTCCTCTCTATGAGGAATCTTTCAAGAAAGCAGTGTGGACTTTTCGGCATCAAAGAGTTTATGATCCAAACAAAGAGGATATTGTGAACCTAACAAATATCACAGACAGTATTGATGGAGATACTGATTTTTTAGGCCCATATCCTTGCATAGTCTTCTTATTGCAAATTCATACTAATTTTATATAAATTTCAGAAGTACATGTGATTAACCTTAACCAGTTCTTACATTGATGCCTCAACAAGTAGTCAAAGCCATAGCAAAAGGTGATCTTGATCCGATAACTAAACTACCATTTCAGGTACTGTATCCTTTGTAAACATTATTATACTGTATATGTCTTCCTTTTCAATGAGCATTAATTGTTTTGTTTAAATTGAAACAAGCTTTTCTAGGAATTGCTTTCAACTGGGGATTGACTCAAAATAGATAGTTTAGGATGTTATGTACGTTGCTGCCTTTCTTTGATAACCAAGATTTTGTGGAGCATAAGTCAGGCACAGGAGGGCTTTATAATGTAATTTAATGATGCTCTTAAAAAATAAGGCCACAATTGACAATCTATATAGGACAAGCATATTTAACTTGTAGGACTAGCGATGTGTTCAGGATGAACAGCACAAACAACCACACACATGGTTAAAGTTGAATTGTTAGGATGCAGAAGCATGTATATATAACTCTGCTTTTTAGCTATGGTGATGTCTAATATTATAACTTAGAAGTGCATAGCAATCAACTCCATTGCATTGGCCAGTGTAGTGGTCTGACATTATATTACGAGGCTAGAATTGCTGTGAAACTATGCACACTTGGGGTAACTGCACAAGGTTAGGCGTAGCTCATTCAGATCATGAGATAAGATTAAAGACTAGACACAGTAGCAGATTTATACGCTGTCCATTATCTTTTCCGAACCCTCATTGTCCATTTTTTTTACCTTACAGGATGAGAATGGTCATGAGAATTCAGTGTTGCATACATCTTCTCAACTCAAAGATTTTAGACCTGAAAGCAACAAGAAGAAGCTGGATTTGCCTGTGCAGAAGAATGTTATGACTAACTACTTCTGTATCCTTGCATTTATCTTCCCCTTTTTTCATATATTTTCTACTGTTCTACTGTTCTACAAATCCGTTTATAGATTGTGTTATTTTTCTTCAACAAAAAATATATAAATATATCTTAGTGTAATAGACTTTAAGCTGGTGCAGAATTGATGTGAGAAGAAGACACTGGACATCTACAGAAATTATAGATATAGTAGCCACTCCCAGAATTAACTAAAAGAATAATAATTAAGCCCAGAATCAATTTTCTTTCCAGAGATTCTCAATGATTTAGGTCTTCAAACAAACTGAGCATTTTGAGCGTCAGATTTCTTTTTATTTGGATTGGATTTTTCTGCATAATGTTTGCTTTTATGTTCCTTAACTTGTTTAGGTTTTGCATCACTAGAAGCAAAGAGGAAGTTCAGGATCCCTCGAGTCTCACCAAAAGATTCAGATTCAGGAAATGACTCCCCTACTCTGATGAAACAAGTTTTTGGATCCAACAAAGCCTGTAAAGCAGATGATTCACCATTTGAATCCTTGCTTGATCAGGTGGTTCAGGGAGATAACGTGTCTTCTCATAATTCTGTAAGTTCATAGAAAACTTTTTTCTGCTGTCCCCTTTTATACGATGTTATATTGTTATGATTCATGTGGCAAATTCTGCCATGGTTATTTATTTATTTTCCTTAAAATACTCTGCAGATGAAGAATGGGTTTTCCCAAAAAGAGGTTGAAGATAATGACTCTCCAGTTGATGGTAAGAGGGTTAGCTTTATTTTAGTTTTTGAATCAGTATTTGTACCACAAGTTTCTGTTGCAATTTTGAAAACCCATATGTAATGCCATTGACTGTATAACTTCTGTAGGAAGTCTGGGGCAAAATCCTTTGGAGCAATCCCATCGTTCAATTCATAAACCTTGCTTAGTATTGCGTAGGGGGAATGTTGATGAGCATGGTCTCGGAATAGTCTCAGAAAAGGAAAACCTGCAGGAGCAGGAATCCCCTGTCAAGAGCTCTTCTTTTCATCATAATTCAGTATGTGAGCGTGATCCTGATTGTAAAACTAACAGGATGACTTTGAGGCGTTCTTATTTTGTAGATAAGCCAGATGAGGATCAATTATTGGGGTCTGGTAAAAAGGTTGTCATTAAAAGTTCCTACTTTAAGCCTAAGTCGAAAACCACTGGAAGTTTTGTAAATGATAAGTGCTTAGTCAAAGACAATTCTTCTATTGACGGTGACAATAGTGAAGAGTGTTTACCAGAAATGGCTGCAGTTGGTAATAACTATGATGAAGACTTGTATATTAAAAGAAAAGCTTCTTCTAGTCTTGACCCTGAGGTGAGTTTTTAGGTTTCAATATTCCTATTTACTTTTTAGCCGCAGTGCATCTATAACCATAGTTTGTTTAATTAATACTGACTTGTGATCTTTCAGGAACACGTAGAGAAAAAGCATGCTCGAACAGATACATATGAGGAAGCAAAAGGTATGCTTCTTTTTGCCTGTAACAGTAGCTTTCTTGACACTGCTGTGTGTAGCTTTCTAATAATCCTATCAGGCAATTTGGTTGATTGTTAATGATAATTGGCAATTATAGATTGCATAGAATAACTGCCACCAAATTTTAGTTTTACAACTCCATTGTGATATGTTATAGAAAACATTAGCCGCTACACAGTCTGCAAGACACAATTCGAACATTAGTTAGTATTTGGAAGACACATAAATTCATAAAATAATTCTAACAAGATATTTTATGATTTTTTCTATGTATATTAAATAAATTGCGGTCAAAACTTACAAATTTGGACCTTGAAAGGACTAACGTTTTGATTAATATGGAATGGACTGATGGAGGAAGTGTCTTCTAGAGATAGAAGCTGTGATGAAAATTTAAGATGTACATTTTAGTAGATTAAGCATTCTTGGGGCTTGGTTGGTTCTCTTTGACTAAGAATAGTGTGTGGTTATAATTAGTGAGAGCCATTATTTAAGAGAATCTCTTACACCTCCAAACTCCTTTTAATAGGAGTGGTGTAGTGAAATATTCCCTTATTCCTTTTTTGTTCTATTCACTTTACTTATTTCTAATTTTGGCATACCTTTTTACCATCTTACCCCTTAAACCCCACAATAATTACCATACTCACTCTCTTACTTTATTCACCTTTTTCTTACACAAACCCACTCACATTCTTTAATATTATCTTAAATAGCGTATCTCTAGTAACTGAGTAGAACATAAAAAGAACAAAGGGAGTATGTGAGAAAAGATTTTTTGGTTTCCATTATGTGATGAGATATAGCGAGAACATAGGAGGATGCACTGATGCAGCCTTAAACAGATTGAGAGTTTGTTGTGTGAATGTAAACTGTTGTCACTATCGTGTCATCTTCTATAGATGATGAATTTTCTATTAGTGATTAGTAAATTGAGGTCTGAACCATATTTTGTTACTATTCTCCTCTGTACTTACTAATCATCTTGTTAGCTTTTTGTTGTTGAAATTGAGAATTTTCCCTTACAGTTTCCATTGAACAAGATACTTCTTCAGCCACAAAATGTATTTCATGTTGACTTTGGCATGTTTTTTCAAAATAAGTTACTGAACTTTCCTCAAAATAATTTGTAATTGCCCTCTGTGATTTGCTTTTTGGCTGGATCTCTGTAATATGAGTTTCTTTTAATTTGTGAATTTACATCTTATTCCCCATGGTGCTTTCCAAACGTGAAATAGTGTATAGAGGTGGTTATTCCATGTTGAAAGCTAGTAGCTTGACCTACAGATTTATCTGTGTCATTCTCCTTGTTAGTCTGTTATATTGATTCGTTGATGTGATCTCAAAGGTCATGAGATCCATGCCTAAACACCTTTTGTCCTAGACTCCAAGATTATATGCTGGAAAAGTGAATAAGGTGATACGCATACGTGAACAAGATATAATACTTTGTATACTACTTGTTTAAACATTCCTTTTTAAGTGTTTTGCAAAATTCTCTAATGCCATGCTCTTTATGTGAGACAAATTTGGCAGTTGGCAATTTGTTCATATACATTTGTGGACATTTCACCTCTTCACTGTGTTCTTGAATTAGCTTAGGTTTTAGTCAATACTCTTGCATATTTAGGTTCGACAATACAGAAAGAATTTTGGAAGAATATCCTTGTTAACAGTTTTCTTAAGGCTTCTTAAAATTACATCATGTTGGGCTATGACTATTCTGGGGTCATGAGACTATTCTTTACAGTTACATTTATGTAAATGTTGTCAACATAGTGTGTGCTCCTATGCAATGTGATGTGTGATTAATGATAATTTGCTATGGATCTGATGCTCAGTACTCGCTTTGCATCAAGCATTTCCAATTCTTTGGATTAGCGGGATACATCATACATCTTAAACTCTGGTTTCTGTGTCTTCTGGACTAGGTGCTGACCTTTCAGCTGGTGGTGATAAAACAACAGATGTGGAGCCCAAAGAAGAAAAATTTGGGTGCAAAATTTCCCATTTGGGACATTACTCTGATATATCTGGGAAATCAATTGAAAAATTCGTGTCTGTAGTATCATCATTTAAATTTGGCTCATCTGGTTCTCGTGCCAGTGGACTCCGTGCTCCATTGAGAGATGTTAAAAACACTTATCCTAGCAGGTAAGGTAACATGCTTTTTTCTTGTTTATCGAAAATGTAGCTTTAACTTTGAATACCTTTTCATCCTATTTTCATCAACCTGCACTAATTATCATATTATATTTACAGGACACCTGCTGCCACTGAGATTGGAAACTTCTCATACATACCCAAGAGTACGAAAATCAAGGTTAAGAGAGCATCATCTCAGAGGCTCTGAAAATTGGACAGTTTGTCGATGAATCCTTGATTGGTTAATGGACATTACGCTTATTTTCAGTGCCTCACACTGGAGGCAGGTAACCATTCTGCAACCTTTTTGTAGTCAATCAAATGCATAGTATCAATATTTGGATTGTCAATTGATCTTAATGCTTTTATTTTTGTTATTTTTGTCACAGCAATCGCTTTAAACTACTACAACTACGTTGTAACCATACAAAGAATCTGCCTCAATTTTGAACATTTGGGTTGCAGTACTGTACTATCGTCTCTTTTTTCTGATTTTAGATTCCAGTAGCTTTTGATTCATTATGACAGTACATCCTTATTTTAGGCCTCTGGCAGCATAATTTTGTATATAGTCTGTCTTCATTGTTGATACACCTCCATTCTTTTCAATGAAATTAAATTGTATTTACACCTTTATATGGATGTCAAGACACTACTCATTCACAGTACACCCTTCCGAGGATGGACAGGGCACCCTCGTCCCTCCCTTGCTGCTTACAAGAATAAGAGCTACCATTAATGAAGGGTGTAAGTTTTGCACCCAAAAATAAAAAGCTCAAAGGTAGGATGTAAACGAGTCGAGTTTAATATAACATACTATATTTATTTTGAACGTATAGATAAGATATTAAACAAAAGTAGTATATTTGATGTGTTAAATAAGACATGCTACATGAAAATTTTCATATTTCTATTAATTTGCTTATTCTAAAGTACAACTTTACAGGCAAAAACCACAAGGAAAACCCATAAAGCTCAGTATACTTGTATGTACAACAGACTTGATCTCTTTCCTTTAGATCAAAAATCACCTAAAAAAATAAATAAAGACAGAAACTATTAATTTGTTCTGAATCCTCTGCAAATAAGATTGAGAATTATCTCAAAAAAACTATCATCAGTTAAGATTTTTTTTTTGACACAATCATCAGTTAAGATAGCTCGTCATTCATCATAATAATGCAGTTTCTAACGTAATACAAATTCCTTTCTTTGAGAGGAAATGACCTTGCTATATCTTTATTAGCCCGTCTTCTCTCAACAATCAAATGTGGAGGTAACCTCATCATTTGATCTTCATCATCTAAATCCGAACTTGCCTCGTCGCTTTCATACCGGAAAGAGTACTGCTGGTTCCCGCTTCCCGGTATATGAATGGGCAAAGAGGAGCTAACCTTCTGTGTCTTCTTCTTAAGACTCTTCCTCCTTTTCAACACCATTTTCGACGACCCATTAGTTTGGATGTTGTTATGCTTGCGCGTCCACTCAACGTTTTCTTCATTTTCATTGTTGCATTCCATGCTTTGATCCGACGAGTAGTCCGAAAACATCACATCGGACTCTTGAAACTCAACAAAATCCATGAAGCTTAGTAAAGAAGGAAAATCAAAAGAAAGGTTTTCTTCAAGTGTTTAGCGAGTCTTGTAGCTAGGCAGAACCCTTGAATCAAATCCTGTCTACACCACTGCCTTTTATGACTATTTAAAAAACTCGAAAAATTGAATAATGATTTGGAGGGATTAGAAGATGAGTTTATTATGACGAGCAAGAAAAATGAAGAGTATGAACTGGTAGTAAAGGGTGTAAAGTAAATGGGTATATAAAGGAAATGGGAGGTGAAGGGTATCAAATAGGAAAATGGACCCTTAAAAGGGAATATAAATTGGACAAAATGAAACGTAATGGCGACATTGATATTGTGTATGGTGTTTGGGTTCCGAAACTTGCTCTTGTGTTTTCTTTCAGCCCACGACTTTGTTGGAACTTAATCTTGGTCAATTATTTTATTTTATTTTATTTTAAGGAAATAACATATTTCAATGGATTTTATAGGAGAGAAATTCTAATTTAATAATGTCATTACTCATAAGGAATAAATAGTGACACTCGTATATGCTTAATGATTCCTTCATTAGGGGAGAATTTGGGGATTGGGATGTAATTTCTATGGGTTGTATTTTCTATTTTTGATACGCAATAAAATTTCAAAATTTTTATTTTTATATTAAATTTAGAAAAAGGCATTATTTCTTACTTATGTCTTTGTGCTTAAGTTAGAAATAAATAGATGCAAAGACATTCATTTTAAGTTAAATATTGGGTGAGTGTTAATTTCAATTAATTTCGAGTGATCTTGACTTGGCCTAACTTTAATTTAGGCAGTAACTTGTTTGGTTTAAAATTGAGGATAATTGATACAAGTTAAATTCAAGTCATATTAAATTCTTATTATCAGTTTTGGGTCACAAATTTGATCTTACAATGAAAGATAAGGATAAAGTATAAGTAAATTATTTGGTCATTATATACATTTTTTTTTTGTAAGGAAGAAGGGCCCTAACGCCCTACTGGGTTAGAACCTCTCACAGACTTGGATTAGTGGGCTAGGCATGCACTTTGAAAGTGGTGGAAAGGTAATGAAATTCCCATCCCTAAGTGCCTCTAGTGGAATTTTATCCCATAAACCACTGGTTTTGGTCATTGTATACTTGCCATTAACAATTTTATAACATTTGTTCAACAAAATAATGTTATCCAAATGTTGTAATTAGATGAAGTGATAAACAAACCCTCTAATTAGTAATGTTTCTCTAGGTATGCTTATCTATCTTTAAATTAAAATGTATCCATACACACATCTTTTAGTCTAAATTTGTTATTGTGTCAATCAACAACTAACTACTTAAAATCGTCAAATATAGACATCCATTAATCCAAACTTATCACCAATTCACCATTAACACATTGTGATAAGCATCATGAAATAATAACTAAATAACCAATTAGCATCTTGGAAAACTAAAGATAAATCCCACCACTTTATATAAAATAGTTTAAGTAAAGTTGAAGCTATCACCCAATTAGGAATGAAGTGTAAGTAATTTAGTAAGCATATATAAACTATAGTATAAATTTTACCATATATAAAGATATAAAATCAATATATAATTATAGATCTTGCTTGACAAAAAGTCTTAATAAAAAGTTTGTCATTTTGTATAGAGTTGACACGTAAAGATGAATAATCCAACCTAAAAGCTGCCAATCAAATCCTTTTTACGTCTAATAGTATTATTTAATTTAATGCATTAATTAATTTATTTCATTTTTTAACAGCATTATATGACCAAAGTGAACATGTACATCCGAGCTGGAAATACAAGCTAATTACGTTAGCCTTAATCAGAGTGATTATGATTAACTTAATTAGAGTTGGAATTGCTAAGAGAAGTCTTTATTACCAGCACGTAACCATATTCTTAACACGTGGCTAATACATTTTATATTGGATATATTTTTGGATTTATTAGATGCTTTGTTAAATTATATACGTGGGCTTTTCTATTCAAAAAAAAAAAAAAAAAACGTGGGCTTTTAATTTTGATGTGCTGTACTTTAAGAAAGTTCTGGAATTGTCGCTTCCAAGGGAACGTATTTGACAAATCTATTTCTTGATTTATTTTATGTACTACTAGTAGTATTTTATTTATTTATTTAGTGTGTATGTGTATGTGTATGTGTACACGTGTATTTATAAATGAGTAATACCATATTATGAAGAAATTTTTAATTTTTCCATTATTCAAAGTAAAAGTTTCATTTCTAACGATTATAGTTTGAAAATTATTCCATTCTTAATCTTTGGCAATTCGTCATAAGTTTGATTATCAAGTGCTTGAAGAAATAGTTCAACCATGAGGTGAACAAACCTAATTTAGATGTTTAGTTCGTGTTTTATGTTGTGCTATGAGATACCAACATGACATGAAGTTGACAATCTTGACATGCCCTAGTTTCAAAACTCACTAAAACTTATATTGAACTAACGTAATCATTCCAATGTGAATCTACTAGGCAATAGCAAAACATATGTACCGAGCCCTTGACATGATCTTAGGATGAGCATTGAATGTGTAAGCTTATAGTTACCCTGAATATCTTCGTTTATGTATAAATGAAAATTATAAAAAGTTGATATTTAAAAAATTTATAATCAGCGGAATCTAATAATTAAGATCTCTCATGCTAATTTAAATTGATTGTATAAATCAAAATATGTGGTCAATTTTATTTTATTTTGATTACATGAATAGTAAGTGAGCCGAACTGTCATAAAAAGAGGTAGTATATCCAATGTTTAATTTGGAGTACACAATTTTTAATTAATTACTACTGTGTTCTAAAGTATTGTAAAGACCTTTCTTCAAAAAATAAAAATAAAAATAAAAATGTAAAGACCTTGTGCATCAAGTATAATTGTATAATATCTTATCAAAAAAAAAGTATAATTGTATAATACTAATAAATTATGCATTTTTTTTGTATGCGAATAATACTTGTAAATTGTAATGAGTTCTAATTGTATCATGACTAGTTCTATCTTTTTCTCAAACAATCTCTTGAATAAAGAAATGAAATTTGTTGTAGAAAAGTTCTAACAGAATCAATCCTAATATTTGCTTAATTGCTCAAACAAATTGACCTTTGGATCCTTAATTATCTTTTATTCTCAAGTATTTTAATAATATTTAATCTTCTTTCCTTGAGACTTAGGTGAACTAAAACATTCATTTTTCTTTTATTTTCATTTTATGTGCTTTATATATATATATATATATATTTTTTTTTTTTTTTCTTTTTTTAATTACTATATTGACAGGAGATGATAAGAAGATGAAGTACAAGCTATTTAAAATGTTAATTTGACTTGGGTGATTGGTCCGCATCAGCTTATCAATAAATTTCAATTAACAGAATCTAATATAGTCTTTACATTTGTTTAATCCTTTTAAATAAAAAAATAGAATAACCAATAGAAAGAGCTGAAGCAAATTGAAATTATTTCTTAATTTTAAGCCCATGCTGAATAACAGGAACATATACTCGAGGCATTTGATGTTGACTTTTTGTATTGATGGGTGAAATGAAACATTATATTAGGTTGGATCTTGGGGTGTTAATAAAAATTGTTTATTTCAAATTAATGTTCTACTTTTAGTTATCTTATTTAACACATTCGGAATATTCGTTAGCTTTTATCTTTTATTTTTTCTATTATTATATGACTTAATTTCAATTTTTTTTTTTTTTATTTTTTTTCTTACGAATTAAGCATTTTAATTCAATCTGGTTAACTTGAATTTCTTTTAGTTCCATTAAGACCCATTCACTATAAAAGGATAGTGTATTTTGTTTGTGAACTATTTGATTTCCATTTGAAATTTTCATGAGTTGAATATAATAAATATCGACTCAAGAAGCTAAATTGTAAACTTACTTATTCAACTAATCAAAATAGCTCAATTCATGGCTTAAGTTTGAATGCATGTGTAATTAGTTAAGCTTGAGCTCGAATACTCGAATGGCATTGTTGCTGGTCTTATAAGGAAGCCATGATATTAGAGATCAAATATGGAATTGTTGATGTTTGATGGT